CAGTGTTCTGGGATTGGCTGCTGTGCTCAGGAGGATAAGGGACTTGCCAGGCTGATGTGTTTCCCCGACCCAATATCCATTCTGCTGCCCACATCCCGAGTCCTGCTCACCTCTAGTAGGTTGAGGAGAATGTACTCATTCACTGTGAACAGGGTCACTTGGAACAAGGTCATGATGAGAAGCTGGATGGGGCTAACTTTGCCCAGCACTGCCCCAAAGGCCACACAGACAGAGGCAACGCAGAAGTCAGCGTTGATGAGGCTATGGAGAAAGAGACAGACTGGGGAAGGGGCTTGGACAACAGCAGCAAATGACGTGCTGGGCTTGAGTCTGACTTTGACTGTCTGTGGGTTTGGGCTTGTGGCATAACCTCCTAGAGCCTCGGTTTCACCTTCTGGGATAATGGATCCACAACAGTAAGGGCCACATGGTGAAGTGCCAGACACATGGAGCCACCTCACCTCTCACAGATAGCTTGTGCTCAGGCCACAGGGACTGGCTGTGCTTCATGTGCCTGTCACAGGGTCCTGTCCTTCTAACAGCTCTGCTCAGTGCCTCCTCTTCTAGGAAATCTTCCCCTAGTTCCTCCATTCAAGAGGGCCCTCTGCTCCAGACTCCCAGCACTGGGCCCACACCCACCTGCCATACCTCCCAGGCCTTGCTGGAGTTCAAGCCTTGGGGACTGTCCCTTCCCCTTACCCATGACAGAGTATTGGTGCCTAGGGAAGGGGAGAAAGATGGTTTCCTGAAGGAAGCAGGGATCTGGGGTGGCAAGGTGGAAAGAGGGAATAGGCACACAGGCCTTCCTCAGTCCAGAACCCGAAAGCTCAGCCAGCCCAGCAGAGAGCTGGTAGAGAGGCAGATGACCAGGAAAGATGGGCAGCCAGGTGTACTTTTGGTGGTCAGAGTGAAACTTGGTTCCATTCCTGCATCCACTTTCCCTGGCCCAGGCCCCCTTGTTCCTTGCCAAAGGCAAAACTGCTCTTCTTGATTGCAAAAACCAGATCCTAAAAGGAACCATAAGGGTTGCTCATGGGCTGGGGGTTGGGACAGAAGGGGCTGTTTCAGAGAGGCTGTTACATCTGAGAACAGTCCCATCTTGTGCTGGGGTGAGAGAGAGGGATGATCAGGGTGAGGGGAGAGCTAGTTGTAGGGCCAGTATGTGGAAGGGGGCAGTGATGCTCCTGAGCCAGGGGACACTCACTGGAATGTCTATTCCACCACATGCCTGTGTCTCCAGGACCTGGCCGAATGATCACACGTCTGGGGCACCTTAGCCATAGCATGTAGATGGAAAACGGGGGTTAGAGAAGCCAGCTCAGTGGCCTCAAGGTCCATAAATGCAGCCAGGAGAGCCACCTGATGGAAGTGATCATTAGGAAGGAGCAAGAGAGGAGAAGAAGCCATGCCTGATACTCTCTGCAGCTTGGAAGTGGAGATGGGGACCCAGACCTTAGGGGGCCTAAGAGTGACACAGGGACCCTGACCATGCAGCAAGGACAGCCCAGAAGCCATGAAGGAGGCCCACATCTCCAGGTCCACTGCTCAGGGGTGGGGACAGCTTGCTTGTGCCAGCTACAGGCACCAGAGACAGGTTCCAGGTCAGCGTGGAACTGTCGAAAGACAATTTGCCAAAACTCAGTTTTTCCAATGATCTGTTTGCTGAATAACTAGCTCCCCAAAAACCTGTTAACTCAAAGTTTATACTAATTCCCTTCGAAGTTTTTTTTAAGTTGTATCATTTCATCACATTCTCCCTCATATGTGCAATCCACACAAGATGGCATGAAAAGTGGAGAGAGACAATGATTAGCCAGGGGGAAGAGGCTGGGGGAGAGGTGTGAGGGAAGGAGATGGGGTGGGTATGATAGAAACATACACATCGCAGCCCAATATTCTGCAGATCAATAGACGCTAATACAAACATATATTTTTTGAATTGTGTATTTTTTTTCTTATGGCCAGTTATGTTGCTGTGCTGCTTAGTTAAATATATTATAGGCCTTTCACACTTTGGGTCAGTGGCACTGGGCGTGAGAATTCCTGGTTAGCTTGAACTTCAGAGGGAATGCATGCCAAAGATTTTTTATGTACAAAAGAGCTGATCTGTTGGTTCTGACACCTGTTTTGGATTAACTACTCTCTCTCTCTCTCTCTCTCTCTCTCTCTTTCTCTCTCTTTCTCTCCCTCCTCTTGCCTCCTCCCCGTCTCCCCGTCCCGTCCACTGTCCCCTGTCCCCTGTCCCCCTCCCCTCTCCACTGTCCCCTCTCCCTTCCTTCTCCCCCCTTCTCTCTCTCTCTCTCCCTCGCTCCCCCCACAGGGTAGTTCAGCTGGCCTCAGACTCACAGCAGTCTTCCTGGCTCAGCCTCCTGAGTGCTGGGATTATAGGAGTGCGCCACCACACCCAGATCCTGTTTCTCTTCACTCATAGATTCATTACTTGGCATGGGAAAACTGATTGTTTACAACTACTTGGCAGGTATTTTAAATTTCAGACACCTAGGTAATGGCATCTTTTGGCGCCCTGTATGAGAGAGCAGGAAATTGCCCTTTATATGAGATTTCATACAGCTTGCCTCTCAGCTTTTCTGTAGATTTAGTTTGGAGAAGGCAAATCAATATTGATATTTCCAAGCCAATGATAATTTCCTGAAGTTAGAAGCTTTTTTGAAGGGCACTGGAAATTGGACTCAAGACCTTGGTGCATATGGGGCAAGTGCTCCATCACCAACCCGCATCCTCCACCCTTTTTATTTTATTTTGAGATAGAGTCTCTCTGAGTTACTCAGGCTGGTCTCAAACTTTTGATCCTCCTTCCTCAGCCTCCAGACTAGCTTGGATTGTAGGTGTATGTCACTACACCTAGCACGAACATTTTTTTATTCTACATAAAAGGCCAGCTAAACAGAACTCAAAAAAAAAAAAAAGAACCTCTAATAAACTAAACCATATGTAAAACTGGGAAAATCATGCTATGGCACGGACAGCTTGATAAATGATTCCTGTGAGTGACCTGCTTGGCCCACTGGGTCCTGGCAAGTTGGCTCAGGCGATTTCTAACCTTCAGAGGTGGGGGGGGGCTTGGGGGAGGTCACCTCAAACAGAGGATGGGACTGAGTTCCTTGACAGCAGGAACTGTCTCAGAGAAAGGTCGCTGGGGAGAACAGAGGTGTGAAGAGATGTGGACAGGGAGCCCTGCGCTGGCTCAGAGGCCGAGGCAGGGGACTCCAGTTCACACTTTGCACACCCCCTCCTGCCTATAGCTCTTTCGATGCCCACTCACGTTCAGGGAGGGGCAATACAAGGAGAAGCATCTTAGGCGGCTGGATTGCCCTGTAGAGGTCCCCACCCACCCACAAGGAGCCCTTACGGGGCAGGCATGCTCCTGCCCTCCCAGGACAGAGGGCCTGGGTCTTTCTCCCCTGGAGAAGCCTGGCCTCAAGTCCCTGCAGACCTGGATGCCATCAGAACTGAGGTCCTAGAAATTACTGATGAGAAAGTATAGTAGCAGTGTGTGTGTGTGTGTGTGTGTGTGTGTGTGTGTGTGTGTGTGTGTGTCTATCATCGGCCTCCAATGTGCAAGAGAGCTGCTTTAGGATCCACGACCCGCCCCCGCCCCCACTCGCGGGCCCTGTCCAACGCCAGTCCGGTCCCCTCCCACCAGCCCCGCCCGGAGCCCCGCCCCACCTGGCCCCGCCCACTCCCTCCGGCCTGGGCTCAGCTCCCCAGCTCACTTCTCGATGCCCACGAGGATATAGCGGCGCCGTGAATCCAGGTGGTGGAACCATCCCTGCATGAGCACCGCCCACTGGATGCCGAAGGCCGCCAGCAGGAAGTTGAAGCCCACGGCCCCGAACCCATAGCGCTGCAGGAAGGTCATGAGGAAGCCAAAGCCCACGAAGACCATGACGTGCACGTCCTGGAAGCCTGCAGGAAAAGCGCGGCACGATTTCAGGGACTGGTCAGGCCCTGTATCACTGCCTTTTGTCGCTGGGCCGCTCGCCCTGGCATGTGGACCCCCCAAACCCCTCTCCTTCGTCCTGCAGCGGACTGATGACTAGTAGCGCCCCCTGCTGGTGGAGCCGCCCATACGCCTCTTGTCTAAGGAAGGCTAGGGGGGAGGGGACCCGGCTTGGACTTGGGCTAGGCCCCCAGCGTAGACCCTGGGTTACAGCGTGGGCCAGCAGATGCCTAAGAGCACCTTTGGGAGATGATGTCTTTTATCTCGCACCCTGAAGCCCGATGGCTCTGCTGGCCCAGGGTGGGGTAGACAGATGCGCATCTGAATTTAGAGACTAGAGTGCAGACCACTGGGGCAGACAGACACCCATCTCCACCATATCCCTACCATTGTGGTGAAGAATCAGCTCTCATCTGGCCAGCTGGTCACACCAAGCCCAGCACTACCACCTCCATCACCAACAATGGAATTTAGACCCAACTCCTTCATCTCTCTAGAGAAGACTTTGGAGGACATTCCCAAATACACTTGGGTCTCAGCCCCATCTGTTTTGCTGAGCTCATGGGTGTTTTAGGAATTCAGTATAGGAGTGTGCGCAAGGTGCCTCACAAAGTGCCTACCCATAACAGGATCGAAACAGGCAGGTAGCATTATTTATTGTCACACCTAGCTCTGTCCGAGTTTCCATCCAACTGTTCTGCCAATTCACGACGTGGCTTTGGCCAGCTGCTTCCCCTCGGAGCTGCAGTTTCTCAACAATAAAACTAAAGAGCCTAGAACAGCCTTGACTGTCTTCCCAGTGCTCAGGCTTTCATGGCTCTGGACACCAAGGAAATGGAAGACATCAAAGAGCTTTGAGAAGCAAAGTCACAGAAATATAAAACTCTGAAAGTCCTTACCAATGTCATAGGACTTTGGTGACATTAAAGGGCTCCTGCTGGCCACATCTGGGACAAACGGAGCACCAAAACAATTAGGTGCTACATTGTATTAAAACCATTTAAAATAGAAATTCATGAGTCCGTACTGATAATAAGTAGGTAAACAAGTAGCAGAAGATTCCTGCTAACAGTAGAGTACTGAAATGGAGGAGCTGGGGTCATGCACACCTGTAATCCAGGAGGCTGGGGCAGGAGGGTCACTGCAAGTTCTAGGACAGCCTGGGCTAGTGCTCCTGCAGCTGGGGATACAATACTCATGCTGCTGCTGCTGCTGCTTGACCGCCCCTGTGCACCTGTCCCCCATCCGTCCCCCCGTCCTCATCAGTCTCTCTCCAGGCCATGACTACAGGCCTCTGGGCTCACAGTCACCTGGAGGAGGCACTGGCACCCTGAAGGGGAGGAGGGCAGGCTGATGCTAGAGAGCTGAGGGGCCCCCAGGATGGTGCCCCAAGCTTCCCTTGGAGTTTATGAGAGCAGGTTTCTCCATGTATGCCTCTGAGTTCACAGATAATCGTATTTCATGGTTTATCACGTCTCCAACTGTTGTGAGCGAATATATGTGAAGCACCATAAAAGGTATTAGGGTTATTCTGGGAAGAAGTGAGGGGTGGCAGACGGGAAGAGGGCTGTGAAGGAGGGGGAGGTGACACATTCAGATGATAACTTTAGAAGCAGGGAGAGGAGCTGAACAGCAGGGTGGCAGAGCTGTTGACAGACACAGGGCAGGGGGAGGGGAGGTGGCGGCATGGGAGGGGCGTGCTGAGTCCCAACCTGGCCAAGGTGAGGCAGAAATGCAGTAGGGTTGTGTGGCAGCAGCTCGGGATGCAGAGGGCAGACCCAGGCCAGGCACTGGCTGGACCTTGACACCAGCAGCTGGGCAAGGTGCTGGCAGGGGACACCTCTGGGAAGAGCCAGCCTCATGGAAGGCAAGGACCTTTCAAAGGCAGGGCTTGCCTGGCATCACAGAGGAGCATCACGGGTGGCCACTGAGCTGAAGGTCGCCAGGGGCAGCTGCAGTGTGTGTGGGGTGCCTTGAGTCACTCTCTGCTTCGAATGGGATGGGGGACCTCACTTTCCTGTCCTTCCTCCCTCTCCCTGCTCCCAGGGGTGCCTTGTGCCCCTCAGACCCTGTGCCCCTCAGACCCTCTCTGTAGGTATGTCTTTTTCTCTCCCTTCTCTGGCCTAGACACCAGCTTCCCACTCCTCATACACCTCTCTTTTTCTTTTTCCCCCAGCCTGGTCCTGATTTAGTGCTAAAACATAGAAGCTCATGAATTTTTCTCTCACAAGGTTTGGTGCTACCTAATACCAGCACTCCAGGAGGCTGAGGCAGAAGGACTGAAAGTTCAAGCCTAGCCTGAGCCACTGAGGAAGACAGACCCTGTCTCAAAATTTAAAAAGGTGGTGGTGTGGGGATATAGCTCAGGATGAAGGCCTTGAGTTCAATCTCCAGTACTGAAAAATCATTCTTTAAAAATGGTTTAAACAACGAGGTCCAAAGTGTAGGACATCAGCCAAGGACACAACCTCTCAGGTTCAGTTTCTTTATTGGTAAGTGGAGTAGGAACAGTGCCCAGCAGCACATGGCCCAGAGGGTTTGTGGCACATTTAATGAGAACATCGTATCAGAGCCCGGGCACAGGCCTGACTCTTTATCAGTTGCTCAATCATGTAAGCTATTACTGCTCTTTTTCTCTTTTAAGACTGATCAGGTGCAGGTTGTTTGCCTCTAATCCCAACACTCAGCAGGCTGAGGTAGGAGGATTTTGAGTTCAAGACTAGCCTGGTGAGGGGAAGAGATTTAGCTATGTATGTAAGCAGGATGGTTTGGACAACTGTACTGTGCATTTCTGCTGATCCATGGAAAGGAGAAGATAATAATTAGTTTTGTCTCCTTTTTCAATTGATTGTACTTTTGGGGGGGGCAGAATCAGGGATTGATCTCAGGCCCTTGCACTTGCCAGGCAAGCACTTATTCCACTGAGCTATCTCCCCAGCCCCTTACTGTACTTTTTCTCTTCTTAATTTCTTATGCATTTCTTTTTTTCTTCTCCTAATTTTACATGCATATATCTGGTAATATGAATAGCTGGTTGGAAGACAACACTGTCTATTGCAACAAGTACTGTGAAATTCATATTACTTTGTTAAGTGAAATTCTGTATCCTTTGTAATTTTTTCTGGTTTAATTCTAATTTGTACTCTTTTTAGAAAAATAAAAAAGACCAGCCTGGGCTATATAGCAAGACCTTGCATCAAAAAACAAAAAGAAAACAATAGTACAAAAGCTAATTCAAAGGAAAAGACTGAGCAGGTGTATGGCAGCCAGCTGGTGACTTGCGGAAGCAACGGGCTCCTCAAGCGGCCCTACCACCGCCCCTTCCTCAACCTAGTCCCTAATTTTGTTTTCCGGAACAGGGGATTGAACTCAGGCCGTTGTACTTGATAGGCAAGCACTTATTCTACTTAGCCGTCTCCCCAGCCCTAGTCCCTCATTTGGTGGCGGTGGAGGTTGCAGGGCAGGCGCTGGCGTTGGCTTCCAGCAGTGAGAGCTGCCACTAGGGGGCACCCTCACACAGCTACCGCAGCCCTCCCTCTGCTCCCAGCCACTCCTACTCCCTTGTCAACCGCCCTTTTCGGACCTCCCTGCCTGAGTCTCCCTGTAGCTTGGCTGAGTTTCCCCAGTGAGAGAACAGTTTCCCACATGGATAAGCCACTACAGTGCCCTCTCCTCTGCTGCCCTGCCCATCCCTGGGGGCCAGTCCAGGCTCATCTGTTTGCTGAGAGACCTGCTGGCCAGTACCCCTGCCCGCCCTCCCCCAAATGCTGTCCCACACCTGCCCTGCAAAACCTCCAGAAGGCAGGAGATAGTGAGGGGGCAGCAAAACCACAGAGGATTCTGGAAAGCAGATGGCTGTGGGTAAGGGGCTTGGCTCAGTGCTTGCCTGGGCCTCTGACTGGTGGACTGAGTGTTCTGGGTCCCTCCTTATCTCTGCTTCCTCCACCACAGCAAGAAAAGGGCAAATGCCTGGCCAAGTGAGCAAATGGCACTTGGCAAAGGAATTTAAACCTCTCATAGTCAAACTAGCATTCTGGGAGACATTCCCAGCCGCATGTCTAGAGGGTGCTGAGCCTCCATGTAGGCCTTTCTGTCCACAGAGCACACTCGCGCCAGTATTTACCGTGTGCTTACTTTGGGCCATGGATGAGTGCCCGGGCCTCTAAGATCCAGTGTGGAGTGGTGACCACTCACTCCATCAAGGGTTGGATACCGAAGTCTACCACCAGGTCACGCTGCTTTCTGCCCTGGGAAACCTGTGCTTCATCAGCTGGAAATGAGTCTGAGGTGAGGGACCCAGAGCAGGTGACCCTGACTTCCTGGTCTCTTGATACAGACCGTACTTCAGGTGTCTGAGACCAGGGCGCCTCTGCCCGGCCTCCTTCCTGAAACATGTTCTGCTGCTCTCTGTTTTTCCAGAAAACCTCTAGAGCCAGGCTCAGGTGGCTGATTTTGGGCCAACCTCCCTGCAGCTGCTGCCCTGGGCCACTCCTCAGTGGCCCTGCTATCACTGCCTGTGTTAGCCTGTGCCTGCTGCCTGGGAGCTTTCCCCAGCCAGAGCTGGACTCCCCTGGTTCCCACAGATGCCCAGCAGGGTCCCATGTGAGGAATGAGGGGCATGCAGTGTGACTTTCCCAGCAAAGGTGCTAGCAGGGCTTTCCTTCCACCAGACCCCTGGGAACTACCTAGCTGCTCAGGACCCCAGGCTTGGGGACCCAGCCAGGCTAGAAAGCCTCATACTCTCTGTCACCTAACCACAGATACAGGGGCTGATTGAGGCTGGGGACAGGGAACGCTGAGACTAGAGGCAGGACAGTGGCCCAGGAGTAGGCTTAGACCCAGGGCAGTGACCCTAGTTCCTGGCTTCCTTACTGAGTGGCCTTTGCAAGACTCATCTCTGTAGCCTTAGTTTCCTCACTTGTAAAATGGGGGTTCCTGATGGTGTCTCCCTTGTGGAGGGAGCACATGCCAGTTGGAGGGAGGGGCTGCCGTTGTGGTATTTCCTGCCTCATCCAAGGAATCCTAAGGCCAACGTTCCCTCCAAACACTTCTCTCCTTGGTCACTTCCTGCTCCGGTGGCCCATACTCACTGGGAGGTAGTAAGGGAACTCAGGACCTCGTCAATCGGTGAGACTCCTTCCTTTTACTTTCCTTTTTCCTGGAGTACTGGGGATTATACATAGGGCCTTCACACTGTGCTACAGCCCCAGCCATTTATTTATTTATTTATCTATTTAT